TTCCTCTCCAATTTTGTCACAGTGTCCTTGGAAGTCTCGCTCTGTCATTCAGGATGGAGTGCAATGGTACAATCTTGGCTCACTGCAACCTCTGCCTCCCAGGTTCAAGTGATTATGTTGCCTCAGCCCCCAGAGTGGTTGGAATTACAGGCGTGTGCCACCATACCCAGCTAATTTTTGTATTTTTAGTAGAGGTGGGGTTTTGCCATGTTGGCCAGGCTGATCTCGAACTCTTGACCTATGTCAAGTGATCTGCACACCTTGGCCTCCCAAAGTGCTGGGATTACAGGCATAAGCCACCACGCCTGGCCAATATTTGTTATTCACTGTCTTTTTTATTCTAGCCATCCTAGTGGGGGTGCAGTGGTATGTCGCTGTGGGCTTTTTTTTTTTTTTTTTTTTTTTTTTTGACTGTAGCCGGGCGTGGTGGTGCACGTCTGTAATCCCAGCTACTTGGGAGGCTGAGGCATGAGAATCGCTTGAATGCAGGAGGTGGAGGTTGCAATGAGCCGGGATGACACCACTGCACTCTAGCCTGGGTGACAGAGCAAGACTCTGACTCAAACAAACAAACCAAAAAAAAAAAAAAAAAACCCAACTAACCAAACAAAAACAAAGAGACAAGGATTTGCTCTATTGCCCAGGCTGAAGTGTGGTGTCTAGCTCACTGCAGCCTCAACCTCCTGGACTCACGTGATCCCCCCGCCTAGACCTCCTGAATAGTTGGGACTACAGGCACATGCTACCATGCCTGAGAAATGCTTCCAATCTAAGTATATTTTGTGCAGACATCTGAGCACGTACTGGGGATAAAACCTCCAGGGAGGCACACAAAGGCGGCTTGGGAGGTATGAGGACAAAGTGTGAGGCCACAGGAGCAGGTCTGGGGAGAAGACAGATGGGCAGGCCCTGCTCCTGTGAGAGCCTCCACGGCCTCCCCGAGTTCTTCTGACCTCAGGACATTTGCTTTGCTTCTCTCCTCTGTAGGAAGAAACGCAGACATGACGTGGCATTCAGAGATTCCCGGGAAAACGTTCTCCTACCTCTCATCCTTCTCCTGAGACACCAGGCGAGACTTTTCAATCAGATATTTCTCGACTACACTCATTTGCTCACTGCTATTGGGCCACACTTCCTATGGCGTGGTGGCACTGCCTGTAATCCCAGCTACTCGGGAGCCTGAGGCAGGAGAATCGCTGAACCCAGGAGCTGGAGGTTGCAGTGAGCCAA